CGAAGTTTTTCATCAGTAACTTCTTTTAAAAGTTCTATTACATTATCAGATGTAATAGTTTTCATGTTCAAATCTTGAAACTGTGATTGCAATTTATAAAATTCATCATCATCACAAGTACATGTATTACCCTTGCAAGTTGTACAATTATTATCAATATTTTTATCACTATCAGATAAATCAAGTAAATCTATTTCAGCTTCGGATTCTGACTCAGAATAATAATCAGATTCTGATCCAGAAATGTATAACAAACTATAAACCTTATCACGTAACTCATCGTCTAGTCCTAAGGTTTTCAACTTTTGAAGCTTACAATTCGGGGCTATATGGCCAAATTTACCACACTTGTAACACTTAATGTCAGCTAGATCTCTCTTGGACCTATTTTTGGTAAATCTAGTAGCCTTACGATGGGCTTTCTTAGCTTCTCGTTCTTCTTTGGATCTATATCTAGATCTCTTTCTCCTATAAGGACTGTCTTGGTTGGGGTATCTATGATACTTATGTTTCTTCTTCTTATGAGTAGAAATCTCGGGTAAACCGGGTAAACCGAACTGGGTGCAAAAGTCCCCTAATTGATTTCTTTCCTTAAGCTTATCCATTTTAAGCTGTCTGGACAATCTTAATTCATTGCATAGGTTTAAACCTTTCTCTGTGCAAATTCCTATCAACTTACCATAGGTATAGTCTCTGTATGGAATTTCACCATAACTAACTCTTAAAATCTTCCTAACTCTTTCAGCAAATAAAGAGGGAAGGCCATCTATAAACTTAGTTTTCCAATGATCAAGCTTATTTTCTGGTAGTTCCATGACTCTACTCATAAAAGTGTCTTTATCCCATCTAAAATCACCTAAGGTCTTACATCTAAGGCCATTAAGGAGAGTACGGACAGTCTCATTCTGGTTGGTAAATCTACCGTTGAAGTGTTCTAATATAGTAAGAATAAGAGTATAAACAGCATCTTCTCTATTTGCCACTAGGGCCATGCCTAAGTTATCAACTCCTCCGTCAGTGGCTTGAGCATTAATAACCATTGCTCTTTCTTCGACAGTCAAATAATTGTCCCACCAACCACGAAGTTGGCCAGTAAAACCTGCAACAATCATTTTGCAAATATTTCTATCTGTATTTCTCACTTTTACAGATAGTTGTATATATAAGCATTCTATATACAAGAATAGTCAATTGTCTATCAGTTAATCCATCAAGATTCCATTCGTAAATTTCGGAACCACTGTAAGACGTATTAGTCTGATTCCAATCACGTTCCTCTATTAAAACATCTTGAGGAGTAGGACGATTGTAATAATAAGTTTGCATTCTAGGTTTATCAGCATATCTGCTATTAACAAACTTATTCTTTTTGGGGTATCCTTTGAGTTTATTAAACTCTGACAAAACATCATTTTTATAGTCAAAAGTAGAATCTAATTTATCAGCAAACTCATTTGATAAATCAATGGGTTTGATATTCAAACCGGATAACTTTTTATCAAGAAGTTCTTCTAAATCATTAAAAGATTTAAATTTAAAATTCTGAATCTCAGGAGGTCTTTGAACATGAGTAAAAACAATTTGAGATTCTGATTTGCTTCCTGAAGTAGAGGCAATATTAGTTATTTTCTTGTTAGTACTCAAAACTTTTATCAAAACTATTAAATCATCAAGTTTTTATCAAGAAAACTAATCTGTTCTCCCAAAGCTTTAACATATAAGCTCAAATAATTATATTGAGAAATTAATTTATTAATTTCTGCGATGCTGACTGCAGCAACATTTTCATCAATAAATTTTTGAAATGCAGTAAAAGTAATACCTGTATTATTAGGTAAAACAAAAGGTGCTTGAGGAGGGTAAATGGCTTTAGTAATATTGCCACTCCCGTCTTTATAAGATCTTTCTAAAAATTTTATAAAAAGTGGTAAATACGTGGTTATAAACCAAGGAATAAAATACATAATTTGATTATGTAAAGCACAAGTTTCATAAAAATTTTGAGAAATATTGTTTAAATCATCTTTACTATAAGTATCAAAAAACCAAGTTTTAAACCGGTTCCATTTATCACTAAAAAATTCTTTTTGAATATAACCTCTAGCTTTTGACCCTGGACTAAAATCAATTTGGTGTGGAATCATTTAAACATCATTTGGGTCAAAATCCATCTCGGACGCAGAAGGAATATCCTTATCAGAAATTTATCACTATCCTGAACAATATTTGTCTTGAGGTTAATTTTAACCCTTTCAACAGGTTTATCACCTACTTTAGTAGAAATTGTGTATAGAGATGCAGCACGATTTCTAGCTGGTCCATAGACTGGTTCAACAGGAGAAATGTGTTGAATATCAGGTAACAGTCTACGATTGGTAAAGGAATGTCTATTATAATAAGAACTAGTAACAGGCAACAGTCTATTATTAGAAAATGACTGTCTACTATAAGTGGACCTATTATCATCAAACTGAATGCAAATCCTTCCATCCAGATTTTGAGTAATATGATAATACTCAGTATTACTGACAGCATTAGTTATCTGATTGGGGGATATAACCGAATTCAAAGTCCATGTAGTTGGAAAATTAATTTCTTCCCACTTAATAGGTCTCCTCGTGGTGACCTTAGACTTTGCAAAATTCGTTTTCACTAATATGGTCTGATCAGATGTATCATATAATTTACATCTAGGGTTTAACATAGATAGCAATTTAAAATAAATCTTATATGATAAATATATAAGTTCAGAACCAGGTGCATAATTATAACCATGCGTTTTCACATTTAATGTCAATGCATCAAGTATATTAACATCAGATAGAGATAATTGCAGATTGGGTTGAGTATTAAAATATACTGGGCCGTAGGCAACTGTAGATTCAATAGAACCCATCAGAGACTGTCTAAAATTTAGATTTTTGGCATCTCTAAGAGCAGCCAAAAATGTCTCTGGTAACCCTTTAAGGGTTAATGGCTTAAAAGCAATTTGAACCATACCAATATGCAGATAATTATATTGGTTTTTTATAAACATCTACATCATGCTTGTTTAACAAACAAATAGTCTGTTCAGACGAATTTAAAGCTAAAGATTGCTCAGTTGTTTTAACAAGTTGTTTAGAAGAGAGTTTATGAAACCATCCATAATCATAGATTGTTCTAATAGGGACTTTAGGAATAGTCCATTTATTTAACAAATCAAGGTTTTGAGGTATATCTACCTCTTCCAACCTAGTATTTTTCATACTAGTTTCTCCTAAATCCATATTTCAGAAACATATCTATGTCGAATATTTCATATCTATCTNGTCGAATATTTCATATCTATCTCATATATACCATGTTATGATCACAGGTATTATTCCAGTTTTCCATAGAGATGTTTCAGTTCTATTTGATCTAGGATCTACTTATTCCTATGTGTCCTCCTATTTTGCTTCATATTTGGTTGTGCCTCGTGATTTTCTGAGTGCTTCTGTGTGTATCTACACTGGTGGGAGACTCTGTTGTAGTAGAACATGTCTATCGTTCGTGTGTGGTTACTATTGGTAATCTTGAGACTAGTGTGGATCTTCTACTTCTTGATCTGGTAGATTTTGATGTCATTTTGGGTACGGATTGGCTGTCACCTTATCATGCTATATTGGATTGTCATGCCAAGAAAGTGACCCTAGCCATGCCGGGGTTACCTCAGTTAGAGTGGAAAGGAACTCTTGATCATTCTATCAGCAAGGTTATCTCTTATGTGAAAGCTCAACGTATGGTCGAGAAGGGGTATCTAGCTTATTTGGCTTATATTCGTGATCCCAGTGCGGATGTTCCTTCTATGGATTCAGTCCCAGTTGTCCGTGAGTTTCCAGATATATTTCCTGCAGATTTACCGGGGATACCACCCGACAGAGATATTGATTTCTGTATTGATTTGGCTCCGGGCACCCAACCCATTCCTATCCCACCATACCGTATGGCCCCGTCGGAGTTGAAAGAATTGATGGATCAATTACAAGACTTGCTTGATCAGGGATTCATTAGACCCAGTGTCTCGCCCTGGGGTGCACCAGTACTATTTGTAAAGAAGAAAGACAGTTCAATGCGAATGTGTATAGATTATCGGCAGTCAAACAAGGCTACTATCAAGAACAAGTATCCACTGCCAAGAATTGATGACTTATTCTATCAGCTTCAGGGTGCCAAGGTGTTTTCAAAGATCGACTTGAGGTCTGGTTACCATCAGTTGAAGATTAGGGCATCTGATGTCCCTAAGATAACTTTTCGTACTCGGTATGGGCATTATGAATTCCTAGTGATGTCATTTGGGCTGACAAATGCCCCAGCAGCATTTATGGATTTGATGAATTTGGTGTTCAAGACCTATTTGGATTCTTTTGTGGTTGTATTCATTGATGATATCTTGATTTACTCCAGTAGTCGAGAGGAGCATGAGCAACATCTTTGGAGTGTGCTTCAGACTTTGAGGAATAATCAGTTATAATGTGAATTTTCGTTAGACTCAGTTGCCTTTTTGGGGCATGTTGTATCGGCAGAAGGTATAAAAGTGGATCCTAAGAAGATTGAGGATATTCAGAATTGGCCTAAACCTATTTCAGTTACAGAGATCTAGAGTTTCCTGGGTTTGGCAGGTTATTATCATCGGTTCGTGGAAGGATTTTTGTCTGTAGCAAGCCCATTGACCAGACTGACCCAGAAAGGTGCCCCATTCGGATGGTCAGACGAGTGTGAGTTGAGCTTTCAGAAGCTCAAGACTGCTTTGACTACGGCGCCAGTGTTGGTATTACCCACAGGTTCAGGATCTTATACGGTATATTGTGATGCATCTCACATTGGGCTTGGTGTAGTATTAATGCAAGATGGCAGGTTGATTGCATACTCGTCGCGGTAATTGAAAGTTCACGAAATGAATTATCATGTTCATGACTTAGAATCGGCAACCATTGTTCATGCGCTGAAGATTTGGAGGCATTACCTCTACGGTCTCTCGTGTGAGGTATTTACTGATCATCGTAGCCTTCAGTATCTGTTCAAACAAAAAGATCTTAATTTGAGGCAGAGAAGATGGTTGGAGTTGTTGAAAGACTATGATATCACCATTTTGTATCACCCCGAAAAGGCCAATGTGGTGGCCGATGCTTTGAGTAGAAAGGCTATGAGTATGGGCAGTCTTGCGTATATTCCGGTTAGTGAGAGGCTGTTAGCTGCAGATGTTTAGACTTTGGCTAATCAGTTCGTGAGGTTAGATATTTCAGAACCCAGTCAGGTTCTAGCTTGCACAGTCGCTCGGTCTTCTTTAAATGAGTGCATCAGAGGGCGACAGTATGATGATCCTCATTTACTTGTCCTTAAGGACATGGTACGGCACGATGATGCCAAATAGGTTGTTATGGGGGAAGATGGAGTTCTGCGAATGTAGGGTCATATTTGTGTGCCTAATGTGGATGGGCTTCGTGAATTAATTCTGGAAGAAGCCCACAGTTCCAGGTATTCTATTCATCCAGGTGCCGCCAAAATGTATCAAGATTTGCGGCAACATTATTGGTGGAGGAGAATGAAGAAGGATATAGTTCTATATGTAGCTCGGTGTCTGAATTGTCAGCAAGTTAAGTATGAGCATCAGAGACCTGGTGGTTTGCTTCAGAAGTTAGAAATTCCTAAGTAGAAGTGGGAGTGTATCACTATGGATTTTGTTGTTGGGCTTTCACGGACTCAGAGAAAATTCAACGCAGTTTGGGTCATTGTGGGCAGGTTGACCAAGTCAGCACATTTCATTCATGTGGCAGTTACCTATTCTTCATAGCGGTGAGCTGAAATTTACATTTGTGAGATTTTTCGCCTTCACGGTGTGCTCATGTCTATCATTTCTGATCGAGGTACACAGTTCACTTCACACTTCTGGAGGGCTGTACAGCGTGAGTTAGGCACGCGGGTTGAGTTGAGTACAGCATTTCATCTACAGACAGACGGACAGTCAGAGCGCACCATTCAGATATTGGAAGATATGCTTTGCACTTGTGTTATAGACTTTGGGGGTTCTTGGGACCAGTTCTTGTCACTTACGGAGTTTGCTTATAATAATAGCTACCAGTCGAGCATTTAGATGGCTCCATATGAGGCATTATACGGAAGGTGATATTGTTCTCCAGTTGGATGATTTGAACCGGGAGAGGCTCAATTGTTGGGTACCGATTTGGTACAGGATGCCTTGGATAAGGTCAAGGTTATTCAAGATCGACTTCGCACAGCTCAGTCTAGGCAAAAGAGTTATGCCGACCGTAAAGTTTGTGATATTACATTCATGGTTGGAGAAAGTGTATTGCTCTGGGTTTCACCTATGAAAGGTGTAATGAGGTTCGGAAAGAAGGGCAAGTTGAGCCCTGGGTATATAGAACCCATCGAAATTCGTGAAAGGGTGGGTGAAGTAGCCTACAGGCTTGCATTACCACCTAATTTATCAGCGGTTCATCCGGTGTTCCATGTGTCTATGCTCTGGAAATATCATGATGATCTGTCCCATGTGTTATACTTTAGCTCAGTCCAATTAGACAAAGATTTGACTTATGAAGAGGAGCCGGTAGCTATTCTAGCCCGGCAGGTCCGACAGTTAAGGTCTAAGAGTTATCCTTCAGTTCGGGTGCAATGGAGAGGTCAACCAATTGAGACAGCTACCTGGGAGTCCGAGTCGGGCATGCGAAGTAAATATCCACACCTTTTTACCAGCTCAGGTACTTTTTCTAATTTCGTTCGAGGACGAATGTTTGTTTTAGAGGTGGAGAATGTGATGACCCAAAACGTCATCTTTAAATTTAATAATAAATTCTATGTTCTGAGACCTCAAAAAGTACTATTCATCATTCCTCGACTTGCGTGCTCAGTCCGTATAATGTTTCAAAAAGTTTTTATGTGAAAAATGTACTAAAATATGAAATAGAGCCTTAAAACTCAACTGAGTTGACTTTGGTCAATATTTTAAGTAAACAGACTCGGATCAGTATTTTGATAATTTTGGTAGGTCCGTATCATGATTTGGGACTTGGGCGTATGCACGGAATTTAATTTGGAGGTCCCTAACTTGAATTATCGCCAGTTGGCAAAAATTAGAAGCCTAAAGGCTTAAAGATTTTAAAGTTTGACCAAAAATTGGCTTTTATAAATATCGGGGTCGGATTTGAGTTTTGAAAATTTTCATAAGTCCGTTATGTCATTTATGACTTGTCTGTCGAATTTGGTGAGAAATGGAGTTGATTTGACATGATTCGGACGTTCGGTTGTGAAAATAAAAGTTTTAAAGTTTTCCTGAAAATTTCATTTGATTTGGTGTCCGATTCGTAGTTCTAGGCATTATTTTGGTATTTTGTTCACGCGAGAGAGTTCGTATGATATTTTTGGACCTGTGTGCATGTACTGTTTAGAGCCCCGAGGGCTCAGGTGAGTTTCGGATAGCTTACGGACCATTTGAACTTTGGAAAATTCTGGTTTTCTTGAGCTTCTGCTGTCATCTGGTGCATGGTGCTTCACGATCGCGAAGCCATTTCCGCGATCACGAAGAGGAAATTTTGAGACGTGAGTTTTACCCTTCGCGTTTGCGAAGATAGGCACGCGATCGCGGACGGTTAGCTCCCAGTGCATCGCCAATGCGTAGAGTGGATCGCATCCGCGTAGAAAGAATGAAGGCAGAAACTGGGCACGCCATTAGTGCTACGCGATCGAAAAAGTCCGCGTAAGGTTGAGAAAATGTTCTCCGCGATCGCATGACCATTTACGCGATCACGTAGAGTTAAAATTCTGGGTAACCAAAACATGATTCGCGATCGCAAAGAATTATCCGCGATCGCGAAGAGTAAAATGGATAGGCAGAAATTGTTCTACGCGATCGCGAATGAATTCCTGCGATCGCGATGAGTAAAAATCTGGGAAGACAGAACTTAAGTTCTGTTGAGCTCGGGTAAAATGAATTTTGGGCGATTTTCACGGGAAAACATTGGGGTAAGTGTTCCTCGTCCTATATAGACTATATTTCATGATTCCATACTCATTTACTTCATGATTCTGTGAATTTATGGAAGAAAAATCAGATTTTTTATAAAATCTTCCAAAAATGTAAAATAAATATTTGAAAGCCAATCCGATGCCGGAATTTGATAATTTTTGTATGGTTGAACTCATATCAGAACGGGTGTTTGGATTTCGTGAGTTTTTCGGGATTCGAGACGTGGTCCCCACTGTCGAATTTTTAGATGAATTTCGGATTTTTATCCGAAAAATTAGTAAATTCATATGGAATTAATTCCTACGATTTGTATTGAGTATATTGAATTGTTTATGACTAGATTTGAGGATTTCGGACATGAATTCGCGAGGAAAATGTGTATTGGATTCTTGAATTTGGTTGTAAAGCGAGGTAAGTGTCGTGGTTAACCTTGACTTGAGGGAGTAGGACTTATTTGTCTATTTTCTATGTGATTTAATGTGCGGGTACAACGTATATGTGAGGTGACGAGCACTTATGTGTTGTGGTTGAGTCAAAGCATGCAGGTAGAATTTGTTTATTATGAATAATTGCCTATTTAATTAAGACATTCTTGTTTAAGTTTATTATTGATTATTTGATCATTATTCGTGAAATTATTATTCATTTAATTATTGTTGAATATTTCGGAAGGTGAAGTCGGTATGCTGGTATTGAATTGATTAATATGTGCATATCCCCACATTTAAATACTCTTCCAAATTTATATTATTATTTTTATGGTAAGAAAAAGTGTAAAAGCACGAAGGGTGATTCCGTGTCATTTTTATTATTTATAATATCATTGTCAAGGTAAGGAAGAGTGTAAAAGCACGAAGGGTATTGCCATGCCATTTGTGAGTGTAAAAGCACGAGGCGTGATGCCGTGACATTTTTAGAAAGAGTAAAAGCACGAAGGGTGATGCCGTGCCAAATGAGAGTAAAAGCACGAAGGGTGGTGCCGTTCCCTTTTCATATTATCAATTGCTCATTTTATTATTGATAAATTAAATGGCTGCTAAGTGATACTTCTCCTGTTGAAATTATTATATCATTCCCCTTCGTATGTTCCCTCCCAATTTATAAATTATTATTTATTTTATTATTGTTACTTTGTATTTTTATATACTTGTACAGGTGGTTACGTACGTGTCTTGTCATAGCCTCGTCACTACTTCGTCGAGGTTAGGCTCGGTACTTACCAGTATATGGGGTCGGTTGTACTGATACTACACTCTGCACTTATTGTGTAGATTTTGGAGTTGGTCCCAGCAGTGTACCATAGACTTGCTCGGATTCAACTACCCAGAGGAGACTTGAGGTATAACTGCACAGCGTCCGCAGTTCTGAAGTCCCCTTCTATCTTATCTTAGCTGTGTCTTATCTTTCAAACAGCTTGAATTTTATTCAGACCTTTATTTGTATTATCCTAGTAGCTCGTGCACTTGTGACACCAGATTCGGGGATGTATTTTGATAATTCAGTATTTATGGTCTTCCGTACTTTATTTCAGTAATTTGACTTCTATTTAATTAAATTTGCTTTAAAATAGTTAAGATTATTTTAACGTTGGCCTGCCTAGCAAGTGAAATGTTAGGCGCCATCATGATCCTGAAGGTGGGATTTTCGGGTCGTGACAAAATCACTTCAGGAACAGGGAATCCAACATGCAAACCGAACAAGAAGAACCTCAGCACGTCATCCACATGATCATTGGAGGAATCGATATCCCCCAGGGACCTATGCTAAAGCACACTAAGGTGTCCATCACAAGGGAAAAACGAACCCGAGATTATATCCCGGAGGGAACCATTTCGTTCAACGATGAGGACGCAGAAGTCATCGTACAACTGCATAATGATGCACTGGTAATATCTATACTTATAAATAAATCTCGAGTTAAGCGTGTGTTGATTGATCCAGGTAGTTCGGCCAACATCATCAGATCGAGGGTCGTAGAACAGTTGGGTCTACAAGACCAAATAATGCCAGCAAACCGGGTTTTAAATGGATTCAACATGGCATGCAAAACTACCAAAAGAGAAATGACCTTGCCAATAAATACCGCCGGGGAAATTCAGGATACCAAATTCTACGTGATCGAGGGGGACATGAGGTATAACGCCTTATTGACCTAGGCCTTAGGTTCACAACATGAGGGCAGTACCCTAGGTCAATGTGGTGATCTCGATGTCTGCACTCTCGACATCAAAGAACACAAAGCTAGTTAGGAAGGGAGAAACTAAATAGCAATCAATGATACCGGCCCCGACCGAACCAGAGAGAAGCAAGGAGTAGGCGAGGATGATGATTACGGAGTCCCTAGGTCGTTCATCGCCCCTGATGATTCTGATGCCACCAAGTCAACGGTAGAGGAGCTGGAGCAAGTCATATTGATCAAACACTTGCCCGATCGGAAGGTATACCTGGGCACGGGGTAAACTCCCAAGCTCAAGAAAAAACTCATTAAATTCCTTATAGCTAACATAGATTGTTTCGCTTGGTACCATCTTGAAATGACAGGGATCCCGCCAAAAATAACCACTCATAAGCTGAGCTTGGATCCGAAGTTCCACCCGGTTAAACAAAAGAGGAGGCTGCAGTCCGAAGTCAAGCATGCATGCATCCAAACTTCTTAAAATAGGTTCCATTCGGGAAGTTAAGTACTCGTATTGGTTAGATAACATAGTGGTAGTGCCTAAAAAGGGAAATAAATTAAGAATGTACGTAGACTATAAAGACCTGAACAAGGCATTCCCTAAGGACTCTTTTCCTTTGCCTAACATCGATCGCATGATCGATGCGAAGGCCGGGCACGAAATACTCAGCTTTATCGATGCCTATTCCGGGTACAACCAAATCCAGATGGACCCGGGCGATCAAGAAAAAACATCCTTCATCACTAAATTCAGCACCTATTGTTATAACGTAATACCGTTCGGACTAAAGAACACTGGTGCCACTTATCAACGCCTAGTAAACCGGATGTTTGAAGAACAAATAGGAAAATCAATGGAAGTTTATATTGACGACATGTTAGTTAAGTCCCTACGAGCAGAGGACTATTTGAAACATTTGCAGGAAACCTTTGGCATATTGAAGAGATACAATATTAAGCTGAACCCAAAAAAATGCATATTCGGGGTCGGATACGGAAATTCCTTGGATTCACGGTGTCCAACCGAGGGATTGAGATCAATACCGATAAAATCAAAGCTATAGAAGACATCACGACCGTTCAGAGGCTAACCGGGCGCATATCTGCCCTTGGCCGGTTCATATCGAGGTCCTCGGACAAAAGCCATCGGTTCTTCTCATTATTAAAGAAGAAGAAGAAAAACATTTCTTGGACCCCGGAGTGCCAACAAGCTTTGGAAGAACTCAAACGGTACCTTTTGAGTCCATCCTTGCTCCATACTCCGAAGGCGGACGAGCAGTTGTACCTTTATTTGGCGGTATCTGAGGTAGCGGTAAGTGGAGTCCTAGTCCGGGAAGAAGAAGGTATGCAATTTCCTATTTACTATGTTAGTAGAACTATAGGCGAGGCCGAAACAAGGTATCCTCACCTGGAAAAATTGGAGCTCGCTTTGTTAAGCGCCTCTAGAAAGTTAAAATTGAATTTTCAATGCACCCCGTATGTGTCGTAACCTCTTACCTACTAAGGAACATTATGCACAAACACGATCTCTCAAGCCGGTTGGCCAAATGGGCATAGAAATTAGCGGGTACGATATCGAATATCGACCCCGAACCGCCATTAAATCATAAATTTTGGCAGACTTTGTGGCCTACTTTACACCGGTCTTAATACCTGAAGTGGAAAAGGAATTGTATTTAACCTCGGGGACTTCTTCGAGAATCAGGGCCCTCTTTACGTATGGTGCCTCGAACGCAAAGGAGTCCGGACTCGGCATCGTGTTGAATCCACCTACGGGTAACGTAGTTAGGCAGTCTATTAGATTTATGAAATTGAATAACAATGAGGCCGAGAATGAGGCCATGATTGCAGGTCTTGAATTGGCTAAAAGCCTTGGGGCTGAGGTGGTTAAAGCTAAATGTGATTCCCTCCTTATGGTAAATCAAGTCAATGGGACATTCGAAGTAAAAGAGGAACGAATGTGAAGGTAATTAGACAAATTTTAGGTAACGCTACATCAATTCAAGGAATGGACCCTACAGCATGTGCCCCGAGATCAAAATAGCGAGGCCGATTCTCTGGCTAACTTGGGGTCAATGGTTGATGACAATGAATTCAGCTCAGGAACAGTCGTACAGCTCATGAAATCGGTAGTGGAGGAAGGCCATGCCGAAATAAACTCAACAAGTTTAGCTTGGGATTGGAGAAACAAATACATAGATTATTTGAAGACTGGGAAGTTTCCCTCGGATCCTAAAGAATCGAGAGCTCTACCCACGAAGGCGGCCAGGCTTAGCCTGTCCGAAGGGACTTTGATCAGAAGAACATTCGACGGCCTGCTCGCCATATGCTTGGGGCCGGCGAATACTGAGTATGTCTTGAGAGAAGAAAAGTTCACGAAGTCACCTGCGGAAACCATTCGGGGGCGGAATCTTTGGTTCGGAAGATAATCAGGGTCGGCTATTACTGGATCGACATAGAGAAAGATGCAGAGGACTTTGTATGAAGATGCGACGGATGTCAAAGACACGCACCGATGATCCATAAACCCGGAGAGCTACTCCATTCAGTCTTGTCCCCATGGTCGTTCATAAAATGGGGAATGGACATCATC